ACTCATTATTCAAATTAGAATCCCAATAATTCTATTGTATGCACTTATAAAGTATAAGTTATATTTTTTAAAAGAAAGTAGCAACCATATTACTATTATTTATTTACAAATATAGTCATAATTACATTTAAATTCCACAATTTAGACACACTATACTCTCTTTTACAAGCACAAACGGTTTTTACTTTTATTATACCCCATGTATGTAACACTTAGTAACTGTATGTTATTGATTTCCATAAACAATAGCGTTCATTAACATTTTCGCATTAGCTGTGGTACTAACAATTAATTTACAACACTATTATTCAGCTTCTGTTTAAGGTGTCAATTCTTAGTTGCTATTCACACAGTTTTTGCGAAGAACAATTACAACGCAAACAAGATAAGAACTGTAAGGTGTGACGGTTTCACCTAGGGTTAGTGCTTATGCGCAACGCTAGCGGGATGATAGCGATTTTGTCTGAAACCTTTACACATGGTATTGAAATCTTGACACGAGACTTCTGTGGTCTCCCCACGCGAAACAATCATTTGTTTCCCCAAATCCGAACCCAGGATATTCTTGCGCTTTACTAGGTAACCAGCGTTTAACTGTTTGGCTACAGAGTCCTGTTCACACGGAAAATTATAAGTATTAAATGATGTCCGAGGATATATCTATATTAAACTGCTTCTTTAAATAAAATAGTACCTTCCCTACCCTACCAAAATAGTACCTTTTAGTTTCCCTTTAAAAACTTACCGTAAAAACTTGTTTTCTTTCATATTACACCTCTGAGGTAAAATTGTGTTACTCAAAAATAACTTTAAAAGTTTACTTTTGAAACGTATTTAGGTATTAAAATAAGATTAATAGATAGCAATAAATAATAAGATATAATGTATGTCTACTTTATATTCCATGACTACATTAATGACAAATATCAATTAAAAATACCAAAAAAATATCCGCTCATCTTGTCTGTATGTCCATAGGCGAATCAACTAGTCAACACGTAACATAGGCGTAGATACAGAGTGTAGACTGATTCGCGCGAAAAGCCTTGGTGATCTGACTTCTGGGCTCGTGTTCACTAACTGTTAAAAATTAAACTTTAATCACAATTTTACTCATTCTGCCGTAAAAATGTGTACCATATTTTACTTTTTACGAATAAAATAAACGCACAAATTAGTGTTGTTTGTTTTTTTTTGATGTGGTAGGAATACAAGGATAGGTAGCTTCTACACAGCTTGGTTTTAGTCTACACGTTTATTGTCTAAGGCTAATAACAAACGAAATGGTCTGAGACTTTGCTGCTAATTTGCCACTGTTTTCGTTAAATTCTGTTTCGATTGTAATAATCAGATTATTAGTTAATCATTAGCTGTTGATTAAAACAGTAGTAGTGGAAGTGAGCCTCGTTTGAAGCCACAGGAATGCGTCACTGCGTGAGCAGATGCGCCCCCTACCCTCCGCGCCACCCCGTTCTTTTAACCCCGCTAACACCCAAATAACATGCACTAATTTGCACTACTTTCATTTGGGAAAGACTCATTACGTCAACATATAGTAGAGTACTATTTTGATTACGAGACAGGTTTCAAAATACTCTTTTTTAGAAGTATGTATTAGATTTTTATTTATACAAAAATAGATTCACTTAACAATACATTTCAATGTCGTTCAATGAAATTTGTGAAATGGAGAACAGTTTATTCTGATTTTCTCGATTTTGAAGTCGGGAATTCTTTAATTTTATGTAAAGAAATCATAATTATGTATCTGAGTAGATACATCCTAAGTTTTAATTGAAAGTTTTAAATATGTACAAGCATTTTACCTTCATGTTGGTCGAACGATTACTAAGAAGTAATTAAACAAAACGAAGTCTGTTTCAAATTCAAGTTGTGTTTAAGGAGTTCCTCTCGATACTTAATTCCTTCTAAATCCTAATACGACTAAACCTTGACATTTAAAATGCACTAAAACAAACGTATTTAGATACGTTAAGCATTTAAAGCGTGACTGAGTAACAAACTCAAAAGAATGTCACCTTTTGAGAGCCCTAGCACACTTCTGAAGCCTATTGTACGAACGGCGAACTCAGCTATTCAAGCGATGCAAAGGAAATTTAACCGTAGAAACAAGACGATACGGTCCATTGTTCGTTCTAGAGATGATTATCTGAATAAAACTTAGGTCAAATTATGACAGGTAGGTTAAAATCAATGAACTAACCCTGAAGAAAGATTTTGCATAAAATGGACAGAGTTTCAAAAATTACTAGTACCTACTATCTGTTTGTTGGCGCTACACTTCGCTTGGATATCCAATATCCTATATTACTCTTTTAAAGGGTAGAATAAGACAGAAACAAATGAAACGTCAAACGTTTGCCCTTAAATATTGATTACGTAAAATCAACCTACTATGTATCTAGTAATTAGAGTTGTTAACTATTATAAGTAGATCCGTGATTGACGTGGTTCTGCGAAATAAGATACGGGCAAAACTTGACACCTCTAAGCGTAACCAATTAATTGAGCCCCCGGTTCACCTTGCTATCTGAGAAAATATTTAAAGAATCGATAGGGCTGCCAATCTCAGTTAGGTAATAGGTTTGTTAAGTAACTGTCAAAAAAATTAAATCAGGGTCCAATCAGTTGTAACCGGTGTGACCTAGGTTTGCCGAATCTTGAATATAATAATAATGTTTTTAAAGAACAATACCTATAACATAATCTCATTTCAGTAGATATTAGCTGAGCCAGTCAAGCATTCGTTCTTCTCTATATTATAAATGTTTTAAAAAGGTTTTTTATAGTCAAATACTTTATCTAAAGTCCCAAATAATGTTACTTAACTATTATACGTTAATAATTTATTAATTGCAAAAAATATTTCTTTATCGGTGACTTGTTATTAAGACATAGGTATATAAAACAATACAAACAATATATTTATCATGTGTATATTGAAGTTAAGGTGTGTGAAACGTGCAATTTCATGTGATATAAATAAATAGTAGAATAATATTTGGAGGTGGCAACCCTACGGTTGTGGGGCAGGGCTAATGTGTCAGGGCTCGCGTTATATTGGTCGCGCGCTGTATTGTGTTACTTAGTTGACGCGATGCGGTTGCAATTTTTGCAATTGCGCAGAATTTCAATATCGCCAGCACAGACGATTATGCCATACACATTTGGTGGGGCTGTTTTATCCGACTGCTGACTATAAAGTGGCTAATGTGTTTCTAAAATGTGTAACTGGTTGCCCTACACGTCTTATGTATTTCATGAGGCAGATAAAATTCACTCGTTCATCGAGCAAGCAAGTAGTTAATCGATCGAAACGAATATTGTCTGGAGGTTAAAGCCAAGAGTTCTCAACGCAAATCAAAGCGTTTAACTATTCAATCACACAACACATCCAAATATTCATTAATGATCCTGTATTATTTATTAAATTACTCAAAACATATCAGGAATTATTGACTATTCTGGGAACAGTAAAATAGTTTTTGTGCAGTAAAAAAGGAATTATCAGGAATTATTGAGCAAACAGCAAGACATATTAAATAAATTTAACTATTTGATTTCAAAAATAATATGCTCTATAATTATATACCCATAACATAACATATGTACATAACTTTAAAAAAAATAGAGACACTTCTAAGGCGCCTCTTTCTCCAAGCTTTTTTGTGGTGTATATTCTACAAATGCTTGTTAAATTTATAACATAATTGCAAATTGACTGGCCATAACAATTAACTCTATATATATGTGAGTGACTCTAAGTATTTCAAGGATTTACTGCATTCCATATTAAGATATACCCATCCTCCGCATTTATTTAAACACAAATTATATTACGTACAAGGAAAAGTGGTTAAGTGTAAAAACGTTAGTGTTTCCGCAGATAAACTAATAAAAAGGCAAATTATTTATATTTAAATTATATTTCTTCATATAAAAATAAAATTTACTCTAGGCATATAATATGTCCTAATTGTTTTCCACTTAAAATAAAGGAAATAAATCCATCATGACAAGTTTGTCTAGAATGAGTTTAATTATTTTCTGTAGTTTACGTGAGTAGTACAACAGTAACGGTTTTACACGCAAAATATGTTTGTACATTTTTTCCCCTGGTTGCTGCAAAGTATCTGAAACGTCCGGTCGTAGTTAATATTAAGTTAAAAACCGTTGAAAGTGTTTTATTTACGTGGTCACGGCGGACCAGCAGAAAAGGTGTTAAGTTAATATTCTTTGTCTACGGGGGGGTTTTAAGCAGCGCTCTGTATTCCAAACATCGTTCTCAACGGCACAACATACATCAGCTTGTCGGCAAAACGCTACGAGACGTCATCACGTAGTCGCTATAAATCGCAGTTCTAATGAGCGTGGATGCTCACACTGACCACAAATGATGATCGCAAAACAAGAGGCCTACCCTTAGACCCAATTTCACCAAGTTACAATGACATTGATTATGTCAACAGATGGTTTGACACCAGAATTGCCTATAATTGAAATGTATGCAATCTTATTTTTATAATTATTAAAGTCTGTCAAATTGGGTCTTACAATGAGTTTGACAGTTCACAAAATATCAGAAGACGGATGCAATAACTATTGCATTTTCATTTAGTCAAAATAATATTAATACATTTCTACGTCACTGTCCAACTCATATGACACCGCACTTAGGAGTGACAAGGGCTCATAGTTAAGCTCTCAATTATATTTATAAGTATGTATTTGTTTAAACGATGTGTTGAACATTTGAATTATTACGGTTTATAGTATATCCCATGGATATATGAACGTACATATATAAGAGTGCTGTTTTGTCTCTTTATTATTTCTAAAGTAAATTTAATTTCACCCAGACATAATGATATAGTAAGTATTATATATTTACAAGTAACCGATGTCAAAGATTTAATTTTTCAATCAACATCACTATGGTGAAATTCAATGTGAAGGTAAGTTGTAATAGTCAATTCAGTATGTCCATACCGACTCTCCCAGTTGTCCCCCTACAAACAAGGAAGCTATTAGTCAATTGTGTTTCCAGACAAATGTTTCCACAAATGAAGTTCCGAGTGTCCGGATTGGATGCGAAAGCGAAATATATTCTTCTGCTGGACATCGTCGCGGCAGATGACTATCGATATAAGTTTCATAACAGGTAGACCGACAGTTCCGATAGGATACGCTTCCCCATTCCTTCCTGTGCTTGGTTGTGTAGTTACGTAAGAACGGAGCCTCTAGCCAAAAGCGGTGTCGGCATTTGTATGGAAATTAGTGAAGTACGAAAAATAAAAAATATATATATTGTAGATGCAAGTGTGTTTATTTTGTACGTTTTAATGCAAATGATAAAACAAGTCACAAAGTAACTTTTTATGACTGCTGTAACTTGTAACCGTCGCTCAATTTTATAGTTGCTATTAAGAAAAAAAAAAAAGTCTCGTCTGTAGTTTCCGCGAGAACTATATATTTAAACGCAACACTTTTAATAAATATGTTAGTTAACAGTCCCCCCGTAACCACGGTTGCCGCAAGACATACCTACCGAAGAATAAGTTAAGCTTCGGTTATAACGCGAAATATATTAGATATGTAGTATTTTTTCTCATATATCATCTAAGCTAATCTCCATACAAAGTCCTTCGCCTGTTTGTTGGTTCTTGGCTAGAATCTGTTGACATCGTCGATTGTCCCATACCGTTGTAGCTTGTGTATCACCCGCACTAGTTCCCACCATCAATGCCATCTTAATTATATCTAAACAATTTGTAAAAAGGTCGACGACATTACGACTTGGAAGTCCAGCGATTAAGGATTCACCGCGCATCGATCGGGTAATATCATTAAAATATCTTTGTCTTAAACACCGCTGTGATAAAAACTTAACACCAAAGGTGAGAAATGCCCGTGGATTTAGGAGTTTTTTTTCGTAGAACTAATTATTATGGATCTCTACCGTTTATTTGGAGTTTTGTAGTTTTTTTTAAAGGAAAACAGCACCTGAGACCTAAATATCCTATTTAAAATTTTGGGGTTTATTTAATGTATACTGAACTATATAAATTCCCTTCATTATTTGATTAGATTAATTATTAGTGAGTCAAATTTAATGAATAACTCGCAATCTAACGCAATTTCTATTAAGGAGCAATTTTGAAAGCTTTCTCTCCAATATGGCGTACTTTTTTTCGATGTGCTCTGACGTCACTAAGCATCGTATCCGATCATTGAATCCGATAGTTTATTTCTCGATGACAAGATTCGATAAGGTGATCTTTACGTCCGACTGGCCTCAAACAAGTATCAAAACTGCCGACGCTGGTTTGGCAACGAGATTGGACCGATAAACCCAAATAATATCCGTTAATTAATACGATCCGAACATCAACTTTTAAATTCGATTGTGATTCATCTGTTAATGTCGCCGACAAAGAAACGTCTAGCGCCGGTGATGTAGTAATTAATTTCGATCAATTTGTATGTACGAGTAGTCTGGAGAATCGGTTTAATGCACGATTTGTAAGTACTCCATCACAATATTTTGAAATTGGAATTCGATGGGTTACCAAACTAAGATGAATTAGAAGTTTGGAAAGTACTAGGATTAGTGAAGTATGTAAGAGATAAAAGGACAATAATAAATATATAAGAAAATGTAAAAAAAATTACAATTTGGAAAAGTACAAGGGTCAGTGAAGTAAGTAGGAGACAAAAGGGCAATAATATTGTGGTTACAGATAATAGAAAATGTCATTCTTCCCAAAAAGACTACACAGACTAATTATAAATTATAACTTTTAGTATCGCGACGAAAATAAACCAATTTCTTAAAAATAGCGATTAAAGTAAAATCCCCACACCGTGTAATTAGCGCGGACGATCACAAGCTAAACGTTCACTTCTCGGGAGCAAACGATCACAAAAAGTGAAACTAGTCCAACGACGTCCACAGTTGTCGACGTTGTCAAATCGTTGTCGCAAAGAACAAGTCGCAACCCATGTTTTTCTCTCGTATTGCTTACAGACGTATGTTTCCTGCCTACAAAGTTCGCGTTTCTGGTCTTGATAAAAAAGCGAAATACATCTTGCTAATGGACATCGTAGCTGCCGACGATTGCAGATACAAATTCCACAACAGGTATAACACGAGGGAATTAAATTAAAATAAGTAGGTTCGGGTCGCGGCGGCTTATTTTAATGTAATTCGAAAAGGCAAGAAGCATGCGTTTGGTGATGAGTAGGGATCTGCGGAGCCTAGGGCCCTTACTCTGGTTGGCAATGACGACACGACAGGGAGGTTCGAAAATTAGGGAATTGACTTATCGACGATCAATTCTAGATATTTTGTTCTTTTCGAACTTCGTTATCGTTGTGTAATTGTTTACTAAGCTTACATCGCTACAAAATCGGATGTGCTAAAAACCATTTTATCAAACCTCTTCGAGTTCTATTACGTACAGATTGGCAAAAAGTCCACGACAGGTATGGCTAAATGTATAGTTCATTAATTTACTATTGAAATATAGTAAATTAATGACGAAACTTAACGAAAATTAAATGAATTAACCATAAAATGAGGAAAAACGATCAGGGGGACAATTCTGTTTGTATCTTACGAATGATAAAAGTCGACGTTAATCTTTTATCACTTTTTTACGGATGAACCCCCAAGCTATGGTAGGTACGATCGCTTTTTGGTAGTATAATAAATAATCGTATTTTTTTTGCCACACTGTACGGTGTTCGATTCGTGTGTCCATAATGTCGTTCCTCATTTATTGCTCTACGCAGATCTCCTTTCATTCACATTGCTTATAATCCACTAGCCCTAAGACTGGTAGCTAGATTCAGAGATATTGAGATGTATTCTAACCACCACATTTGACTAAACCTGCATGCCCTGGTTACTAGCTGTAGCTTCCGAAGGTTCAAAATATAGTGCTTTCATTTTAAAACAAACCTTAGTTACAATAAAGCTATACTAAGTTATAGACAAATTTTTGGGGCATTTTATTATATAACTTGTTAAAGATCATATTGTACAGTGCATCTAAAATAAAAAAAACGTGACAGTGACTTTAATTTTCATAATAATATTGTATGTTGGTCCTGACAGTTAAGTTCTAATAAACACATTTTAAGGTAATTCTTATGGATTAAGCTACAGGTCCACTGTCTCTGAATCTAAGCTTCAGTCTACAGCTTTGTAATACTGTATTTTACTAACCCAATGTAATCTAAGGATTTCAATTTAAAATGTTCACGCTTTAACAAGTTCGGTCCGGCCATAAGTACATTGTTTATAACATCATAACATTTTTAATTTATGCGACCACCTGTCTCGGTGCGAGTGTTCGTTTTAATTAAAAATTAATTTCACTTTCATTAGTAAATGCCTAATCGCTTTGGCCTAATGAAGTTTGATACATTTTAATTTATTGCAACAATTGCTTGAACGTTTATTTTGTATGCATACTCTATTTTTTGTCTGTTGCTAAGTTATAATAACATAAGTAAAATGATGAAGGACACGTTTTTGAAATTTCAAAGTCCTGTTTAAATCATATTATTTAATAGTTTAAACTTGGCTTAATGATATTTATTTTAAAATAAAACTCAAATCATATAAAAAGTCTCTTTCTTCGAAAACGTTTGTCGTTAATCTTTATAACCAATATTAAATATATTTATTGTAACTTGACAGAGATTGCAATCAAAAATATAAATGTTATTATTGCGACTTTTAAATTTCCACGGTGCCTGCTTTGAAATTCAGCTTAATTTAAGCTATATCTATCTCTTTCGCACTCACTCAACACAACATTTGTGAGAACGAGACAGATATAACACACGCTATTGTAAGTCGGTCTAAGATATTCTCTTTTTCCCGGAGTCGGTGGATGGTAGCTGGAAAGGCAGACCCAGAAATGCCGAAGAGGATGTACATACATCCAGACTCGCCGTCAACAGGAGAGCAGTGGATGCAGAAGGTCGTCTCCTTCCACAAGCTCAAGTTGACCAACAACATCAGTGACAAGCACGGTTTCGTGAGTACCAATTTTGATATTCTGTAACCAAATTTGTATAAAGTACTTCCGGATGACTAGAAGACTGGACTTAGGTCGTTATTTTTTGATAAATAGCATTTTTAATCAAACAAAGATTGCCTTACCAACTTTACTTGTTATGCCAAGCTCCACTTACATTTGGTGCAAATATAAAATGCAGAGGGCTTTTGGGTGTCGTAGTTGTTTTTTTACATTTCAAATGCGTGTACAACAAGTGTTATTTAATAAGTACCAATTATTATGATTGGATACATCGACGTAGATTAGGGAGGTTTTAGGGGTCCGATCTCTACCTAAAAAGTTTTTTTATTGTACACAACAAGCATCAAACCCTGTATTAATTGTGAATGTGCCAATTACAAGTTGGTTATTGTGTAAATTAGGATACACATCAACATTTCATCATTGTTTTTATCTTATCCAAATTGTTAGGTAGATATTATTTATATTTTAATGTTAATTGCAAACATAAAAACGGACATTTGTTTAAATTTATATACCTAACATTTTGTTCAGCGATTTTGTACCGTCGTATAAATGGGTCATTAGATGTGGATAGGAAACTAATCATTTTTATTTGTGTTCATAATCACCAGAGAATCGTTCACGTCAACGAGACGATATGGTACAATAACATAGGGTATGCCATTTTTAAGCAAGGACCAAAACTAATTCTGATTTTAATTTTACTTAATTAATTGTCTAGTAGATAGTTACTAAAGTTTTAACGATGTGGAAAAACGAGATTTTATAATCTAGGTATAGAGTAAGATTAGAGTTACAAAACAGTATTTTTAAACCTAAGAATTAATTATTGATTTTCATTTCAACGGCATCTTAATGCCATCTTAAATATAGTAATAGTAGGAAATAACTATAAAAGAAGCTACAAACATAGCTATCTATGTCTTTCTTAGGTATTTATCCTTAATGATAATGTAAGACCTCCTAGATGTCTTACTATTTAGACTTGCAATGCATTCAGCACGTTTGAACCCCGGGAAAACAAGAAATTGTTAGGGCCGGGCACAGCTCAGAAGTGAGATTAATTTCTTGCCTTTAATTAAGATCGACCAATAAAACAGACACAGATTCCACATTATATGCACCAAAGAAAAAGTCGACTAAGTATTCGTAGATACCATTTTCCATTCTTCCGTATAATGGGCCATATTTAATAGCCATCAAAGAACCAAAAAAGTAGCATCGGTCTTTTTTTTTGTAGCAAAAAGTTTGTGTAATGTGGGTGATATTATAATTAAAAAGGTTGGGCTGTTGAACAGCGGGGGAGCATTGTGTTGGATACGGTTATTATCGCTATTTACTTTAACCACTGAACCACTGCGCATGAGCTTCAATAGATAATTCGAACAGCGGTAGTTTACAATGGCTTTCGACAGACGTTGAGCTCGAGAGGGATTTTTTACGGACTTCATATAAGAGTACGTTTACTTCGCTTCAGTTTTAACGTTAGTATATTCTGAAAAGCGATCAAACCTCACTATGTGATGGAATAAATAAATACCTCAATCAAGATCTTATTAAATGTTAAATATAAGCATTTAGATTAGGTACCCGGCTTCCATTGCATTTTTTTATAATAGAGACAGACAAGCATTTGATAGAAGGTGACATACCCCAGCCATATAATATCTCACTAAGACGTGCTGTCGCCCTATTTGAATATTCGGAAGTACGCACTGAAACCGACTTGCGATAAAACTTTGCTTTTTCATCTGTGGATGACGGTTCATGATCCGGACGGAGTTTCGATATTCCTAACACCTATCTAATATCCAGATCTTCAAAAGTCAATTTTTTAGAACCAATCGAATAATTATTATTGGTTCCGGCAGTGCAGGGTATATCACAAATAGGACTATAAACCTAAAAATAATTTAACTATTAATCGGTAACCTTGTCTTTACTTTTCATCTCAAATAAAATGTTGAAGAGTTGCCGTTAATACAAAAAACCAGTGAATTCAAATCAGCACTGAATATTTTAATAACCACCAATTAAAATAAATTTAAATAAAGCAATACAGTAATTAAGAATAAGCAAATTTATCTAGCTTAAAAAATAAATAAATTAGAGGAAGCATTTTTTTATTGGCAAAATTCTGCCTTCACCAAGGCAGGTGCACTGCTGGCGCCACAATCTTTATTCTTTAGCTAACCACTTTCTTAATTACAGAAAAACTTATTAATGAAGACGAGTAATTAACGAAAACACGTTCTCGTAAACTGGTTCTACGATTCATCAACTATTTCATCATTATTTTTATAAACGTATTAATTGAAGGAATCTCGTAACGATGTTTATAAAACCTTTTAATATGAATGAAGCTTAACCCGTTTTTTAGTTTCACTAACAAAATGAACAAAGTACATAGCTATATAGTTCAGTCTCATAAATAGAACTAGCTACCGTTTTGTAAGAACAGTTCGGGACGCAGCGATCGTGGATTTGAATCATCAGATCCAATCAGATTTTAATTTATAATAAATGATTATTGGTAATAATATGAAATATGAAGAAAAATTAGAATGGAATTATTATATTGTCTTTTCGTTTGTGTGTTGTTATTGTTTTTGCAAATGTCAGAAAAAAAGTATAAAATACACTTTTACAGCACGGGCACAAAAACATATTGTAATTTAGACTTAGGGGACTCGCCTCATCGCTAATTTGTATAGGTATATAGTTTAGTAAAAACATTATTATTTTTTTAATATGTAGCTTATATTAGTTAAAATTTTATTTGAATATCATCAACTTCTTTGTGTTAGTTCAGAAAATCTTAAAGTCCGTTGGGTTTCCCAAAAATATCAAGATCGTTACCGTTAATGCTTCCGAAAATTCGACTAACCTAATACACTCCACCGCGTTTACAAGACCGCGATCCAATCATAGATAACATTTTTTACCGTCGTTTGTTTTTTCCTTGTGTCAAGTCTTTTGTCTTTGACGAGGGGTAATTGAAATAACGACCGGCTCCGTTCGGCATTTGAGGAATTCCGACATCAGCTGTTCGGTTGGTTTGTGGAAGAAATAATTGGGTATTAATCATATTTAAGTCAAAGGTAAATTTTAATAAAAGCACTTTCATTTTCACACAATTAAATTATTATTAAACGTTATTCTATACATAAATGCGTTTTTATGGTAGTGTAACTTATTTGCTGGCGCTTTCTGCAAGTTTTTAAGTTTGGTAAACATTATTATTTTTTAACTGTTACTAATTCCATACAAAATATTTTAAATTGGTCCTTCAAGCCGGATAGAACTTTACTAAGTTGTCGATAAGTTTCTGTTTGTCTTCTTTATCAACCTTAGGTATTGGTCATGTACAATATGACTATTGTACATGACTTATTGCAATGTATTTTTGGCCTCAAACATACGTCCTTTCGTTAAACAACCATCGTCATTATTGTCTATCTTTAATCTTGCTTTCTACACGATATTATGATCTGATACACTTCTTAACAGGTAGAGATTCTGAGATTCTTGTTTGTTTTGTTTTTGTGCTTCGCCTTTCGTGTCCGACACGCCGATTTTTGTACGCTTGTCAATTTTTCATATTGATATTATCTGCCATGTTCAACATTTGTTTATCAGTTCTTAAGTTCACGTTCTTTTAGTTTCTTGTTAGACTTTTAAAGTTCATTGGTTTTGAAAGCGAATAATATTTTAAAATGTTAACATTACTGGGGGTTGTTTTTTGTTTCTCATCTAAAGCTTCAATTCTTTTTTAATAATATTAATAAGACAAATTTCTATGTTAGTGTAACAGGAGTAGGTAAATATCAAATTTATCTAAGACTTACTGTAGTATAAACGTTTTTACCTTTATGGAAGCCGCATTTGAAAGACTGTACCATGTTTGAAAACATTAACATTTTTTACTGTAGACACTATCAAATTGAAAAATCGTTAATACAATGAAAAAATTTTCGGCCCAGGCAGAACTTGAACCGGCATCGTCAATGTTCCGTGCTGTTGCTCTACCAATTGAACTACCGAGGCAGCAATTTATTTTCGATTTTTAAATTAGACCTTACTATAAATAGATATAGGCACTAAAAATAGCTTTAAACGAAGTTTGTTATTGAAATTAAAAAATAACTCTGAAAGCGGTACCACTACTGGCGCCACGTTTAGATTTTAAAAAAACTCAAGTCGCAATATCCTAAAGCACAAAAGGATTAAAATTTACACCTCAACTGGCAAAGATTTTTAAACCTTCTACATTTACTGAATTACGGTCCTCTTCATTTTGTTCCATTGTATCTATTCAATTGTAGGCGAAAGTTAACAATGCCATTTTATAACTATTGAATTTACAACGTTATTTTGATCTTAGATCTCTATAAGGCACAGTTTTATATTATCCTTCCGATCGTTTTCTAGAATGGTTGTAACGTATTTGTTTTTAACTCTTTTACGTACACTATAATGGACTAATTTGGATAACTTTTTACTTATATATTTAGAATAGGTTATACGTAAGAGTTAGTTGTTTTTCATCAATACACGCGGTAGACGCAGCAGAGGAAAGCTAACTTCGAATTTTGTATTAAGATATGTTTTGCTTCCAGACGGTTATATAAATGAATTACAATTTCTCTTTTTTACTATTTGATACCCCGTCCACAGCACTTGCTCATAACTTGACGAGCTCGTTGGTGTAATGGTAGCAATACATGATTAATAATCAATGGAATGTGTCAAACGTTGTACTACTGTTTAGTACAAGTTGGCTTGGGCTTCGTCTGAAAAGTCTGGATATTAGATAGGTGATAGGAATATCTAAAATTCGTCCGAGACACTAATCACCACAGGCTAAAAAGGCGTGAAGTTTAATCGCGTTTTAGTTGAAGTCTGGATTTCCGAATATCAAAAGCCAAAATAGGCCTACAGCACATCTTGTTTAGTCATCAAGTGAACTTCATGCTTGCCTGTCCTCCTTTATTGCAAAAAAACTGCCGTTCCGCCTTAAA